CAATGGAAATGACATTGAAGAAGAGGCATTACCATCTCTTGTTGTATGCCAAAGACTTTGAGGCCTTCCCATCTGCCTTGCAGCTAAAACCTTCCATATATGTTATCTCCCCCTTATTATGTGAGCTCCTTGAAAGCAGGGACTGTCCTACTTCTATATTTTCTCATAGAGATCCTCATAGGGCATGGACCCTAGCCCCTTGCTATCTTGGTTACTACCTTCCTTTTAGTGTATTCTACTTTGTTGATGTTCTTTCTAAATTGTGTCATCCAGTATTCTCCATGTAGTTTTGCCCAGACAGTGGACAGTGACACTGTCACCTCCTGTGTTCTGGAGACTGTGCTTCTAATGCAGTCCAAGAATGAATTCACTTTTTTGAGCACCATATTACACTGTTGATTCTTATTGCGTTACAAAACCCAGGTCTTTTTTCACACAGACTGTTGTTATCTCTCCTTGTCAGAAATAACATTTTTCTGACCATAATATAGACCATGCAGTATTATTTTGTCCCCCAGCACTAATGAAAGCAAGATTTTTTTTTTTTTTGTACTTTGGAGTTGGCATTATGGTGACTCTTCAGTTACCAAAGGGACTGGATAATATTCTCTTTCTTTATGGATTCCTTTCCCAGGCTTGCAAAATCAAGGAACATTCTTGAAACCAGGCAGCCAGTTATAGAGATAGGGTGACTATTTCCCTTCCCTAGGTGGAATCGAGATGTTTTGTGTTATTTTTAAAAGCCCCAGAACTCCAAAACTTTATTCTCCTGCTAAGTTACAAAGGGAACGTTATTGCACTGTCTTGATGTAGCAAGGGCTCTGAAATTTTATTTGGATAACACTGAAGATTGGAGGAAATGTGACTCTGTCTGTGTGTTTTAAGCCCCTAAGGTAAGATCAGAAATCGTCTGGGGCAGTAAGAGCCAAATAGTTGAAGTCATACATTAATTATGGTCATGAATCATTTTTATTTTCAAAGTCTTAACCATTTGACAAGGTTGTTTGCATAGTACCAGTGAGTTTCAGACAGCACTTTCTTCCTTCCCTCTCCCTTTTTAAAGCAATAGACTATTTTGTTGTTTCCTCTATCAGCAGATATTCCAGTTAGGAATGCCTTGAAACTCTTACTGATTACCAGGAATTTTACCTATGATGATTTTTATTTCTCTAGATTAGTGTTCCTTAATTTATTAGCCATTTATTTAGAATATAGTTATCTTTTTTAAATTAAAAATTTTCATTTATCAAGCACATATTTTTTTCTCCCCATATCACCTTCCTCCAACTATGAAAAAAAGAAAAACAAAACCCTTGTAACAAATATTCGTAATTAAAACAAATTCCCAAATTGATATCTCAAAAAATTTGTGTCTTATTCTGCATATTACTGCATTACTCTTCTGTTAGGAGGTTGGTAGCATTTTTTGTTATCAGTCATCTGGAGTCACAATTAATCATTGTATTGATCAGAGTTCTTAAATCTTTTAAAAATGATTTGTTTTTGCAATATTGATGATACAGTATAAATTGTTCTAATTCTTTTCCATTCACTCTGCATCATTCCATACCTGTCTTACCAGAATTCTCTGATACCAGATCTTAATTTCTTATAGCATAATAATATTCCATAGCATTCTTTTGCCATAATTTGTTCAGCTATTCCTAAATTGACATGCACCCCTTGGTTTCTAGTTCTTTACCATATCAAAAAAGTGTATCTTTTAATGCAATGGTTTGCATAGCTTAGAAAAGTTAAATTATTGATTATTTTGAAATCAATGTACTCATTCATTTCACAAGCATTTTTTTAAGTACCTTCTCTTTGCTATCTGTTATGCTTGTCACTGAGAGAGTTAAAAATACTAATAATCTTTTGTATTTGTATGACTTCATGATTTACAAAGCACTTTCCTCACAGTATTCCTAGGAAGTAGGTGCTTTAGTTATCTAGTCAGCAAGCTTTAATTAAATGCCTATTATGTGCCAGACCAAGTGCTAAGTGAAGGGAATACAAAAGGCCAAAAAAAAAAAAAGAGGCCCTAGTCACAAGGATTTTAAGTGTTATTATTTAATTGTTATTAAGTGTTATTATTTTAAGTGTTATTATTTGACAGTTGAGGACACTGAGGCACAGCCATGTTAAGCAACTTACTCATAGTCACAGTGCTAATGAATGTCATAGGTAGGATTTGAATTCAGGTCTGTTCATTTCTACTTCCAGTACTTTTTTGTTACATCACATTGCCCTCAAGAAACTTATAATTTTGTAGCTGTGACACAAAATATACATATATCCATACAGATATAAAATACTAGTTGTAATATGAATAAGAAGAGTGCAAAATGCTATGCTGTTGTATGAAGGAAATAACACTTCTAACTGATGCTACCCAGGAAGACTTTATAGAAGCAGTAGCATTTGAACTTGGTCTTGAAGAAATGATAGAAGGGAAAGAGGCCATTCTGTATATAGAGCTTACAGAAGATGTGGAGGAGGGAAAGTATGGGCTGTGTTCTGGGATGGTAGAAGAGTTCTTCCCAATAACTGATCTGCAGTAAAATTTTACTAGGTCATAGGATTTTAACTGCCAAAGATCCTTACATTTGAAAACAAAAATTTTTAAAAATCTGACTCTTTTCCTTCCCCTGTACCCTATTCTTGCAGGTTTCTGAGAAGCCCAAGATAGTGGTAAGGCTGCAGAGAGTAGGATGATTTCTAGAGAATTTAGAAATCTTTCCATTCATCAATCTAGTTTGGGTGAGGAACTCCTTCAGAGAATACGTGAGAGGGAATTGTATGAGAGGAAGCTGAGAAGCCAGCCAGCCACCTTTTCTTTACCTTTTTCGGACTTAACTCTGTACTCGTGGATCTAGATGTATTTGGGGACCATTGTGTCATTACAGTAAGGAACCTGAATTCTGTTCTTTTAAATACGCTAAAGTACAACATTGAGAGATAGCATAGTTGTTGCAGGATTTGAAAGCAAACAAACGAAAAAACCACACCATGCCAGAAGTTTGGAGAGTAGGGTAGTGCTTCTTTAATGAGTTTCCTTGGGAATCCTGAGAAAACTGTTAAATGTCTCTATCCATTAGGAAAATAGGGATAATGAGTAGTAATGAGCTAAGGAATTATCTGTGGCCATATAGCAGTTTATGAAAATGTAAAGTTCTGTAGAAATGGCTTTATAATCTTATTGTTGGCAGAGCAATCAGCTTTATTACATCTGTTGTAAAGACATCTTTGTTGCAGAAATAGCATTTGATCTGGAGTGGTGATCATTTTTTGATGTGTAAGTATATAAAGAATACATGAAATAGGGAAGTCTTAAAATCAGAGTTCTCACCTGATTTACCTTTTTAACAATTAGCCTTGATTTTGGCTAAATGTTGAGATGAGGCTTTACTATGGACCTAGTCTTATTCCTGTGTACCAACACCTTTTACATTTGTTACCTCTTGTTGCCTCTCCCTTTCTACTGGACTTTTTCTTTTTCACTCCACTCCCTTTTTTGGTAAAAGTCCTAGCTGTCTTACTCAGAACTTTAGTGTGGGAGCATGTTATTTTTTAGCATTAAGTAAATATTATCAGTAATAGTCACATTGTTAGCTGTTGACTTTAGATAATAATTAGTCATTACTCTTTTCTGGGCTTTAGTTAGCTCATCAGCAAAGTGCAGGGCGTAGGCTAGTTGACACCTAGCATCCTTTCCAGGTTTAAAATTCTTAAGGTTTATAATTTTATAATGGTGTCACCTATTAATGAACATTACTGCTTATATTTTGGTCATAGAGGTTGTTATATGAAAGAAGGATTAGATACTCATCTCCAAACTGGACAAAAATAAGACCATCAAATGGAAATTACATAGAGATTTTAAGCTCAATATATGGAAGAGCTTCCTAACAATAATAAAGTTAAAGAATCTCAGATTTGGAATGAGTGTTAGAAGGTATTTAGTACAACCCAGGTCTGTACTTAAATGAAAATCCTTTTTTTTTTTTCATTTTAACAATAATTCTCCCCCCCCAACTCATATTTAGCTAATTTCTCAGATTAAATTTCTATTAAGTATGGAGTGTTGTACCCTGAGTATTACTTAAGTTACTTATTCCAGAAGTCTTCAAGTGAGGGCTTGGTGATCTCTTGTTGGTGCTATCATTGAATATGTTCTTGTGACAGATGGGAGTTGTATCAGATAATTTCTGAAGCCTTTTTTAGTTTTATTACTTTAAAATTCATCCCCTATAATTTTATTTCTGTCATTGGGAATGAACTATATATGTTGGACTCTCTCAGGCTAGCCATTCCCTTCCCCTTCTTACCCCCCATAATTCTTATATCCATAATGAATACATTGAAATATGCTGAATACTGAAGAAATTGATCATTTTGTTTCCTTGAATTAATAGGCGTACTATTCTGCCACGTTTATATCTTCTTAGCTTATGAAATAGAATAGTGCAGACAATATTGGTTTCTGAGTCAGATGACTTGAGTTGGGGGTCTGATGCACCATGATGTTTATGTACGACCTAGGATAAAAGTTAGCTTCACAGTGTCTCAGTGTTTTCATCTATACAATGGAAATAAAAATACTTGTTTCACCATCTTTATAGGCTTGTTATGAAAAAATTTGTGTTAAGTGCTGTATTATTATCTTTGTTCTGACTTTGGTACCTTTTGTTAGTCAGTGGGATAAATGATCATATCCACATGAGCCCAACCCTGTGAGAGGTGCTTTGTCTGGAGCCCTGGGTTGGAGCCCTACATCTGGCATTTCTCAGTTGGCTCATTGACTCCTGTTCTTTGATCCTCATTTTTCTCACCTGCAAAATAGGAATAATAATCCTTGAACCAGCTCCCTCACAGCAGATTGTAGTGAGAAAAGTGCTCTCTTTGTAAACTTGAAAGGGTAGGAAAACCATGAGTTCTCCTCTCCTTTCCTCTGCTGGGTCAAGAAGCTGGGTTTCATTCACTGTAACTTTTATTTGCAGGCTTCACAGAGCTCAGTGTGCAATTAAACAGACTCAGGTGACTGTTCAGAAAATCGGGAAGGAGATTGAAGAAAAACTACGACTTACATCCACAAGTAATGAGTTGGTAGGTTTGGGTATTTTTCCTTCTTCGAGCCTCTTGATTTCCTGATAGTCTCAGCACATTTTTTGTAATGGGGCGGAAAAGGGTGGACCAGAACTTTCCAGCTAGATTTTAAGTTGGCTTTTAAAGGTTCAAGGTAAACTGTCTTCTCTGTTAACAACATAACAAGCTGGTGCTACTGGAAGAAGCTTTGGAATACGTCAGAATTATACAAGAGATGATTAACAGGCAATCTGATTTATTTCTTTTTAAATGTGAATCATAAGCATAAACTGTATAATGAGTGAAAATAGCTGCTGAGAGAAAAAGAGGCTGAACCTCAGGAAGCAGTTGACTTTAAAATTTGCTTGGACAGGGTAGAATTGATAATTTTAGATCTGTATGTTCCGTGGACAAAGAGACTGATGATCCTTTTTCAGAAATATAGAAACCTCAAATAAAACAAACAGGATTAAGATAAAGTGTAGCCCTAGGCTTGTTACTTCTCCTTTGGAGTCTCATTTTCTTTCCCTTTTATGGTGTAGTGGAAAGAACATGTATATGGATTTAGAAGACCTGGGTTTGAATTTTGGTTCTTCCACTTGTCACCAGTTTGACCTTAGACAGATCATTTAATCTCCCTGTGGCTGTTTCTTCCTCTGAAAAATAAGAAATTTGACTAGGTCAGGAATCAGCAGCTATGAGCTAAGAATGGTTTTTAACAGTTTTAACATAATAGCAAAATTTTATTCAAAAATATAAAAATCATTCTTAGCTTGAAGGCCCAAACAAATCCGGGCCCCCGGACTTGATGATCTGTCTGGTTCCTTTTAGTTCTGGAATATATCACTAAATTATCTCTAAGGTCCTTTTTAGCTTTGGCTTCTAATTTTATGTTAACAACATTATATTACTTACTGATGTTTGAATGCTATATGGACTTATAGTTGGGAGATTTGGGCTAAAACCCTTTGAATCTAGTGCAAAAAACACTGATTGAGATTTAAGAACAGAAGGAGGATAGGATATTTCTATATTCAAGGCACCTAATACAGAAAATTGTTTCCTCTTAACTCTCCCTTCACCTTCCACTTATTGTTTCATGTGAACTGACTTCTCCAGGTCTCTGTTTCCTCATCTTTAAAATTAAGGATTTGGGCTAAGCACAGAGTGGAATGAGAAGTCCATTAGGTCTAAAGAATTATACTTCCTTCTTGTCACTGCCTTACTTGGGGTTTGTCAAATCACCAAAGACAGGTCCTAATACATTTAGCCAACTAGACTGTTGAACAGTAGCTTGTTGTGTTCCAGGGCTCTTTGACTAAGGGGGCCTGTGCATGTGACTTGAATCACTTATACCAGGTGGCCTAGTAAGGGCCCAGTGCTGTCCACATCAGTCTGCTTTTGGTCTTAAACCTGGCATACTCCCTCCTGCATGGAGACCATATTTTATACTTAGTGGTAAATGACCTGGACTGATAGATGGTGTGTTTTGGGGGAACAGCACATGAAGCACCTTTAAAAAAATAAAAATAAAAAAGAGGAAAAGAAAGCAGTCAGGACAAAAATCCTAGCAACTCTTTAAAGTTAGAGCAAGTATGGTAATGCCAGGATCATGAATTGATCAGTAGGTTGTAATATATCCAGAGGTCTATTGAAGATAGCACCAAACAGAAATGAAAAGAAGACTGACTTCTCAAACCAGGCTAACTTTAGGAGTATGTCCACTACAAAACATCTGCAAAATTATATCTATAAGTAGAAGCTAAGAGTTTATAATCCATTTCCTTGTAACTTGTCCTTTGGCCTAACATAATATCTCCCATTCACTTGTATTACCATTTTTCCCAGGCTTCTGGCTACTACCCTTCTTTTAGGGGACATCTATACCTAGGTTCACATTCCTAGCTGTGTTTTCTGGCTTGGAGTATAAAAATTCCCTGGTTCTTCCACAGTTCCCATTGCCTATGATTTTTAAAAAAAATTTAAAAAATATTTTTAGAAATAAATTATGAACTTGAGAAATATCAATATGAATATTTCTTTATATTAATAATAAAGATGAATTATATGGAATTGATTTTCTTACATGTAACATGTTGAATGGTAAGTCCAACACTGTCCAACTTGTCGATAAATCCCTCCTGAACTTCCTTCTTCATATTTTCAAAAATATACTAGGGGTAGTCTTGATAATCTAGAGCTTTTAGACTCTCAGTCCCTTGATGAAGCCAAGGTAACAGCCTAAGAATTCCTATCAGTCCTTATAAATTATGACTTGCTCCTTCCCTCCTTGGAGGGCAACTGTACAGACCATTAGGTAGGCTAGAGTTCAGCTTGTAGGGAGGACTGCCCAAATACTTTGTTGCTCAGGTATTTACTGGAAACTGGTAGAAGACCAGGGGTGAACATCCTATTTACAATAGGTAGAACCATCTTTGTACCAAATATCAGAGATGTTTGAAGTGTCCAAGTAAATTAGAAAATGCCCAGGTGGTGAGAGTTGGCCTTGTTGCGGGGATGGGAGGTTTAATAAAGACACTACCCACAGGGAGACCAGAGACTTTATTTACAATAAAGATGTTTAAGATGGTAGTGAACAGACTTGTCCTATTCTTAAATATACCATTTCCACTTAACAGTGTAGGCATTATGGATCCCACTAATCTGTATGCTTAGATTTTTTTAATAATCCAAGGATGGAAATCTCAGAGTGCAACAACAGAGAATGTTTTTAGGTTAGGTGCTCAGTGACTGCCAGTGGTAGTATATTAGATGGTAGCTTCAGAAAAGTTACAGCTTCAAGGGCCATTGCTTTGAGTGCCTCATAGAGGCAGCCAGGTGGCACAGGGGATAGATAACTGGGCCTGGAATCAGGAAGACCCAAGTTCAAATTTGACCTTAAGATACTTATTAGTTTGTGATCCTGGCCAAGTTCATTTAACTTCTGTTTGTCTCAGTTTCTTCAACTATAAACTGGGAGTACTAATAGAGTTTACCTCCCAAGATTATTGTGAGGATCAAATGAGAAAATATTTTTAAAAGTACTTAGCTCAGTGCCTAGCAGGAGTTTATCCTGCATTGTAGTAGACATGGACTAGGCTCAAATTTCATCAGCCTTGAAAGACTGAAGGTTAAATCTCTGCTCACTGAGAGAGGAGATGGGAAATGACTGCATACCTTAATAGCAGTGGGAGTAGTTGGAGGAATCTTCAACCAACGTGATGTTATCAATATCATAATGGAGGAAACCATAACAGGGTGCACATTGTCTAGATTATAATAATAATAAACAATATCATGACAATATGTAGGAGAATTTGATACTGAGTGGAATAAAGACCACTTACCCAAATAAAAGCTCAGAGGTATCTCCAGGTAGAAAACAGAAGGTTTTATTCTAGCAAGTCTCGCGCTAGAGTTGGGCATCTCCTACCCAGCAGACTGGTGTAGAGACGTGAGGCACAACCAACAGTAAGCAGTATATATAGTCTTAGACAAACCACTCCAAAAAGCCCCCTTCCCACCTGTCTGTCTCAATCTCTTTATACTCATTGACTGAGGCAAGAGACCTCACAGTCTATTTTCAGAATCCAAGAGATACATTTTACTCAAAACTAGCTTGGAAGCTACAGGATTGCCTTATTTGGGTAAAGTTAAGGCACAAACCAACAGAGGGGGTGGTTACAAAACAAGGGAGGGGGGTGGGCAGCTGGTGCACAACCCCCTTCCCCAGAAACAAAAGTGAAACTTAGGCCCAGCTCATGCTGAAGCCTCACTACATTTATGGAGCATAGCTTACATCTCATGTGAGAAACTTTCATTTGTCCCAGGCAGTACCAATGTGGGAACACTGTAAAAATATTTCCAGGTAGAAGTGAATTACTCTTGACTCTCCTAGAGAATGGAGATTGTGAGGGGGTTGGGGTGGGGGTGGGAAGCAGGGAAAGCATTAGCTAAATCAGTGACACTGTACCTGGGGGCTGGATGACATCCCCAACTATTACCGCCATATTAGAAAAGCTATGGGGGTGACTATCGTATTCAGTTCCCCGTATTCCATCATAAAGCACCAACTTCCAATGTGACCTTCTACATTGGCCACACCCTGATTATTATATGAAGATGTGGCATGGTGGAGAATTCTGGTGTTTTTAATGTATGCTATAAGTGTAGGGATTTCAGCAGTAGTTTGGGGAGCTAAGTGGGGTTTTAAAAGTATGGGATGTTTTAAACAGATAAGGGAGTTGGGGTTCCAATTATTTTTTCCTACCCTAACTAGGACCACTCCCCACAAACCCAACACTACCAGATGACCTCTCATCTCTTATCTGAATATTTGTGGTACAATAGAAAGAGTTCTGGACTTGGATCCTGGGACCAGAGTCATAATCCTGACTCTGCCACTCATTGCCTTTGTACCTGTAGGCAAGCCACTTCCTGTCTTCATACCTTAATTCCCTCATCAGTAAAATGAGGGAATTGGACTTTTGAGACCCCCCCCTTTGACTCTTAATCTTTGGTCCTATGGTCCTGAGATTTATCTTTCATATCTTATTCCAAATTGCCTGCTTCCTTGGGGTTTCTATTTCTAACCCACCTGACTTCTGCATTACAACAGGGTAGACAAGGAACTTATTTTTAGAGGGTCAAACCTGCCTAATTCCCACCTAAACTCACTACAACAGAGATATAACTCTCTTATCCTGATTGCATAGGGTGATAGGGGGTCCTCAGTTAACTCCCTCAACTTTTCACTCAGATCAGATTTTTATCTTCCTGGCCCCCAGACCCAAGAGATAGTAGGGTAGTCTCTGTCCAAGATGGGTGGTAGGAAATGGAGTAGAAGTCCTCTTCATCTCAGTTCCATTGCTTCTCCTCTGACTTATACCTAATAGCTCCTATTTCCTTGGGTAACAAGATTGGATTGGGATTGGGATCCTCACCCCAGATGACCTACCCCCCTCTCATCATTTCAGAGAAGCTAAGTGCCAATGTCCTTGCTGCCTGTCCTTGCTGTATTA